GAACACAGGAGTTTTAGGGTAGTAAACCTATTTCATACAGTACTATAATGGTTGATACATGTCATCACATATTTGAGAAAACCCACTGAATGTAAAACATCAAGAGAGAATCCTAATGTAAACTATGGAATTTGGGTTACAATGATGTGTCAACTTCATCAACTATAACAAATATACTCTGGTGGGGGAATGTTGATATGGAAGGCATACATGGGGCAGCAGTACAGAGAAATCCCTACCTTCCACTCAATTTTGTTGTGAACCTAAAACTGCTCTAAAGAAATAAAAATCTATTCAAAAATTCAGAGAACAAAATAGAGCTCTAATGGTAGACACAAATCTGCAAGCATGGAAAAGTAATGCATAAGCATTTCCTAAAAGTATATGAATAAATTCTCTAAATATATGTAAAATACTTGTGTGCAGAATATTTTGCAGAACTGGTGTTTCCACCAAACATGTTTTTGAAAATTCTACTGGAAGAATACATAACTATAATTTAAAAAGTAAGTTGGAAGAAATGAGAAGTTCAATACAAAGTTTGGAAGATAGAGTTTAGGAAAGCTTGAAGACAGCTGAACAAAAAGAACCGAGATAAGAATAAAGAGGGCTTGGGTCTTGGCATCTGAAATGAATAGTCACTGCTCAGATGAAGTACAAATGGCAAATAAATATATGAAAAAATGTTCAACATCACTGGCCATTTGAGAGATGAAAATTAACACAACTCTGAGATACCATCTCACTCCAGAAAGAATGTCTAATATCAAGAAATCAATCAAGAACAAATGCTGGAGGGGCTGTGAGGAAAAAGGAACACTTCTCCACTGTTGGTGGCAGTGTAGACAGGTGCAACCACTGGGGAAATCACTATGGAGATTCCTCAAAAAACTAGAAATAGAGGTCCCATTTGACCCAGCTATTCCTCTTCTGGGTATATTTCTCAAAGAACTAAAAGCATCATACCACAGCGATATATGCACACCCTTGTTTATAGTGACAATTTGTAATAGTTAAAACTTGGAAATAACCCAAATGCCCATCAACTGTTGAATGGATAAAGAAGATGTGGTTTTTCTACACAATGGAGTATATTACTCAGCCATAAAGAAGGAAACACTTGAGACATTTATAGCTAAATGGATGCACCTTGAAGCTATATTCTTTTTTTTTTTTTTTTGGTACCGGGGATCAAACTCGGGACCTTGCGCTTGAGAGGCAGGCACCGGAACCACTGAGCTAAATCCCCGGCCCTGAAGCTATATTCTTGAATGAAATAAACTGGACACATGTGTAAATATTGCATTGTCTCTCTTGTGTAAGGAATTGAAAATGTAAATAGGGACCCCAAAGGTGTAATAGAAAATGTGAAATAAAAAAATCATTCAATAGGAAGGGGGGAAGGAAGGAAGGAAAAAGAAAAAAAATGAGAAAAGGAAAAAATGGAAATGGGGATTTTGTAAATAAGGAAAGGGAAGAGGGGTTGAAGGAAGGGGAAGGGAATGAGAAAAAAAGGAATCAAGATACATCATGTAAAGGTACAAATTCCTTATGATGAATGTGATCATTGTGTAAATCTAAATTGTACCAATAAGTTAAAAATGAAAAAAAAAAAAAGAATAAAGAGGGTTGCAAACATTAGAGGACCAGCTCAAGAGGTCCAGTAACTGAATAGCAGGTATGTGGAATGAATAGAAAAAGGAGGAAGAGAAAAATCATTAATGAAAGAATTTCATATAATTTCATAAAATGAGTGTCCTGCATGGCAAGTAAAAATATATCTAAGCTGAAATCTCAGATTACTGTGGATGAAGAGAGGCTTCATAGACAACAAACATATATAACTAAGAGTGTAAAGATTTATATGAGAAAGTCATGGGGAAGAAGAGCAAACTGGAAATTTAACCAAAAGAAGGGGATGAAGTCGAGCATTAAGGATACTTGTTTAATTACTGTGAGTCTGGTAATCAGCAAGAGGGCCTTGAGGCAGCTACTCACTTTGGCATGTCCAGTACGTAGTATGTCGGAAACATACATACATAGTATGTAGGCAAATTAATCAGTCTCATGAATAGCCTGAGGAAATAATGATCTTTGTTTTTGAGATATGCAGCACTGAAAAGCCTCTTGTGACTAGCTGATTAGGATCAGCTTTGCATCATCTGGCCCACCATTGCCAAGGAAGCGTCCACTATTCTGTGATTACTCAGCACCTGCTGTGAGAAGGCAGCTACTGGTCTGGAAACACCCATCAGCCATTATATAAACACTTTTAAGTCAGCTTCCCATAAGATGGGCTTTGTGATGAGTCTTCTGTCTTCTTATTTAGTTGGCTTTTAGAATAAAGTCACTTTCTTCATCTCAACATTTTGTCTTATGACTTAACTGGCCTATTGTGGGGCAGGCAGCCAGACTTGGGTCTGCTAACTAGACAGAGACTAAAGGAACTCCAAAGGCCCCAGGAGAGATTTATTCTAGAGTTTGACAGGGTAGAATATATACTGTGCTTGAAAAGAAAGAGATGTAATAGTAGGAAGAGACTTTAAGGTTGAATTAATAAGTACAGAGAAAAATAAACATGCAACAAAGAAATCAGTAATATACTGTATTTCCCTTGAAAACAAAATGTACAACAAAGGAAAAGGAATTACAGTTCACCACATGGCTCAATTCAGAACAGCAATTAACTAGTTATAAAAACAAAATACTGACTCAAAATTAAAATATTGGGGAACTAGATTAGGGAGGTATGTGTGGATAGGTAAAGGGCAAGGAGATTAAGAGAGTTAAATCCTCATCCTCTGATGTATAAACTCAATATAAAAATGCCTAATGCTAAAAAAATAGCAAAATAAATATGCTATTTAGATATTTGGGAGTAAATAAAAGAATTAGTTAACTGGGTACAGTGGTGCATGTCTATAATCCCAGCTACTAGGAAGGCTGAGGTAGAAGGATCACAAGATGTAGCTCAGTAGTAGAGCACTTGGCCTTGGGTTCAATTCTCAATATTGTAAAAAACAAAAACAAAAAATCAAAAATAATTGAAATTTGAAAATCAAAAATTGAATTAAAAATGATTGCTTCTGGGAAGAAGTAATTGATAGGAGGCTGGGGGGCTCTGTTTTGTTTTTGTAGTATGTCTTATAGACTATTTTTTCCTTTAAATATATGTGCTCTATAACTAATAAATTTGTTTTGTTTTGTTTTTGGTACCGGGAATCGAACTCAGGACCTTGCACTTGCCAGGCAGGCATGGCACCACTGAGCTAAATCCCTGGCCCACCAAAAAAATTTTTTTAAAATTTCAAAAGTGTTTTACAGTTTATAAAATGAAAGATAGGTTAAAAAAGGATATGGTGTGATAAATAGTATTCAATCTATGATAACTTTTATTGTTACCATAGAAGGGACTATAAAAGTAACACGAATAGATGTACAGATGTGTAAAATGAGGTTCATACAGGGAAGTGACATCAAGGTCACAAGACCCAATCAAAAGATGGTGGGGACACAATGATCAGTACAGACTGCTCTAGTGTGACACGAGCAGGAGACAGGAATATACACAGTAAGTTCCCATTTTCTCTAGGCCATGAGATTCAGGTCAAAGGAGAAACACCAGTCTAATGATTACAAGCAGCAATGGTCCACATCATTTAACAGAAATAATGAGGCTCAGTCATGAGACTCCTACTGCTGTGGCTCTGTGTACTACTGAAAAGGCTCCTCACCACTGAGGTGGTATCTCAAATGCTGTGGGCTAAACCAAGGAGGTACAATGGTATCTAGGGGGCATACCATGAAATTGGGAGATATAATCAATGTTTTCACAAAAGTGCCTGGCAGTTCTTCTTTATGCATGGGGTTCAGGGACAAAGGCCCTACTCTCAGACTAAGCACATGGAATGACTGGCTGGAGCTAAAACTAGATTGCATATTTGGAAAAATTATGTGAGAAGACCCTGACCACAGAAAAACATACATGCCACAGGCAGGCTCTGTCATCTTCTAAAGGTTAGTTGGAGAGGAAACTATGGCTAAGTCTTCCCTTCTTGCCCTTAACCTTTTAGGATTTGAACAATGACATACTCAATTCCTTCTAAGAGAAAGACCACCCTAACTTTCATGGGGATCATAATTGTTTAGACATCCTTGAAGAAAATGCAGTGTCTGTACAGTGAGCAAGGTTTTACACATCTCTTAATCTACACATACAAATGAGTCTTATTTTCATAGCTACCCAACTGGGAAGTTGTGTGTCTACTCCAAAGGTATAATTCTTTCAGAGTTACTTTCACAGTTTACAAAGTGTGGATATCTCTATCTGTTTGTCTGTCTTTGTGGGTCTATCTAGTTTATGAAATGAGAACAGATATTTGTAACTCTTAACTTATGAATGAGATAGCTGTCTGTATTTATGGGAGAAAGATATCTGGTGTCCAGCATCCAGTTCACTCTCATTGTACCATGGTTTACCACCATCAATAATTGTTTTTAAAAAGCCAGAAGAGTTTCACACAAAATTGAGTAGTGGCAGTGTTACTAGGATACTAGAAAAGTTATAGAAAGTGGAAGAGTCACTAATAAGTAAGCACTCCTAAATTGGTAGGATGAATATTATTTTGATCTGAGCCTGGGAGATCTGGGTCTTTCTCCCTATCTCCTGAAATAAGCTCCAGTTCCCTAACACTGAGTTCATAGAACACTTATCCAAATTTTCTTTGATTGTTCTGACAAAACAAAAGTTTCTCTGAGACTATTTCAAATGCCAAAGATAAAGCATTTAAAAAAGATTCTACCTGGGCTGGGGGTTTAGCTCAGTGATTCCACTGTTTGTCTCGAAAGTACAAGGTCCAGAGTTTGATCCCTGGTACCAAAAAAAAGATTCTACCTAAGTTTACTAATGGACAGGAGGCTAGTTATTAGTGTAAGACAAGAGGAAGTGCAAACATTGGGGCCTGGGGCTTGTTGCAGCTGGTCCCGTCCTCTGCTCTTACCTGTGGGGGCCTGCATGGCTGAGCTGGGGATGGTGGCAGCATCTTGGGGAACAGTGCTGGTGTCCGGTTCAGGGGTGCTGGTTGTTGGTGAGGTGGGTGGTAGGCTCAGCAAAGTCCGAGGTTTCCTCTGTCAAAACGGATGAGGAAAAGTTTGCTACCCATGATAGGTAACTTGTCTACTTGTTCCTCTATTCCTAGCACTTAATTCATCCATGAAACAAAAATATTTTTGTGGATGCTATTCCATTTTATCTTTGTTTTTCACTCAGCATCTGGCACAAATACTGTACATACAGTAGATGCTTAGTAAACATTTTCTGAATCTATGTACAAGATTTTGGTCTTCTGAAGAGTTAGAGCTTAGTGTATTTTACATTAGTTTCAATGTTATGTGGAATTCCAGATCCTTTATAAATGGGCAGATAAAAGCAAAAAGGGAAAAGAGTATGTTTTTATACTTTCTTTCTTTAAAAATGGAAATGACCCTTCTTAGTCTACTTTCCTCACCTATATAATTCCTTCTCTTAAACCTCCTACTCTAGTAATCCCAAACTATACTACTACTCTAAAAACTCTGCAAACAAACAAACAAACAAAAGAAAACAAAATCCTGCAGTTAGCCCAAAATTATAAAGGTATAAACCAGGTACAACTATCTTTTTTGACTGAAATGCCCTTTCTATTTATTTTACAAATTTCTGTTAATCTAGGAAGCTTTCCTAGTTTCCCTCTAACTACTGTCTTCTTTTTGCTACCTTTGTATTTTGTGTTTTTGCATTTGTCAACGTATTGCCATTAAATGTTTACATAAAGCACCCCCTACTAGCCTGGAACTCCTTGAAGGTCCAACCAATTGTGAGTACCATTCCTTGCAAAGCACTTAGCATATACATAATAAGTATTCATAAATGTTTTTCATGAAGCATACAATGTGGATCACCAATAATGGAGGATTAATAAATAGAATTTGACAGAATCTATTATCTCCTCTATGCTTTTCAGGGCAGACTGTGGGGGAAAAAGATCTCAGAAGGTTCCAAGAAATTGTTTTCTAAAAGCTTTCCTAACATAAGGAAAACAGCCTCAAGGAGATCCAGAAATTCTCTTTTAATAACTGCCTCATAAGGGTCCATTGCTGCAAGCTGTACAAATGTTTGGTTTCTAGGAATAAATCATTTAAAGAGCTCATACTGGCAGCAGCAGGCATACATAAGATGACTTTGCCTGGGAAACTTATGCAAGCCCTAGTCAGAAATGGACATCTGCTTATATTGTGATATTGCTAAAAAGTGAAAATCCATGTAAGTAATGAGCCAGGATTAAAGGGAAGGACTAGTCCAATTTTAATGAGTTGCTGATAGGATTTCCTGGGGTTCCTGAAAGAGCAGGTGGGGTAATTAGGTGCCATTACTATACAAGAAAGCCACAAGATGAAAAGCATTATTACTACTTGAGAGAAATACATTTTCATGTAGTATATCTATTTATATGTTACCTCATTTCCATTGTATAGGAGAGAAAATTGAGGCTCAGACCTTCCTCAAAGAAGTTTTCCCAGAGTCATGCAAGTGGCCACAAGTGGATATGAGATCTAAACCTGTCTGGCTTCAAAGCTTTGCTTTTTGCTTCAAAAAGGACTGTAAGGCTCATGAATGAAATGGGAGACAAATAACTCTTGTAAGACTAGGCAAAAATACAGGAAGGAGAATTAGGGAGTGAAATGCCAGGACATAAAATATAGGATAGGATGAGAATGATTGCTTTCAAGAATTGAAATAAAGAAGACTTTGGCTACTATATTCAAAATCTCCAGTGGGAGCAAACCAGAGGCAATCATAGTTCCTGGGTTTTGAAGGATCTTAAAGGTTATTTAATCCAACCATCCATCTAAAACTTCTACCTCCTCTGCCTGAAAAAACATCCCTTCTGTAGAGTCATCTAGTGCCTGATAAAATATCATTAGTGAAAGAAGCTTGCTATTTTCATTTTGAGATACATTTAATTGTTCCTTTTATGTTGAGATAAAGACCTTTGTTTGAATATCTGCTTACTGGTTCTGTTTCTACCTTTTTGAACATCTTCAAGATATGTCTATATCATCAAAACCATGTCTTCTCTACCTTGGCATTCTAGGACCTTTAGCCTTTCTTCCACAACATCAGGTAGAAAGGAGTATAAGAGATAAAAATGAATTAGGTCGCAGGTTAGGGGTTGGTTATAACAGATCAGAAACAGACATCTTTATACAGGATGATTAGGACGTGACATTGAGAACTCAAAGGCAGTAAGAGACAACTGAGATTAGTAACATCACTGCTAAAATCATCCATCCATCCATCCATCCACCCACCCACCGACCCACCAAACATACTAAACATCTTCCAAGAGACTGAGATACAAAGCACTGCAGGAGAAAAAGAGATTAGGTTATTGACCTTCAGAAACTTACATTCTACAAGAACTTAAGTCAGCTGAAGCTACTAGGCAATCAAAGCAAAGAATCATACAGACAAACCAACCAACCAACCAACCAACCAACCAACCAACAAATTAATTCCAGGGAAGAATATGAGACTGGAAAGGACAATGCAGGGAGAACAGGGCATTGTTTCCACATTGGAACTTGGATATTCTAGTTCAAGAAAGACATTCTGAGAAATCCTCTGACAGTTAAGAAATGAGTGGAGGAGGTGATGCTAGAGTGAGGCTTGGGAAGCTGCTGAGGAACTTTTTTTTCCCACACTAATGCTTTCCCTGGGGAAGATACCCATGAAAAGCTCTCATGACTAAGAGGGATTACTTTCAGTAACACTGCTCAAAAAAGTTTGGCTCAATAGTCTCTTTCAAAACTAGATGTTAAGTGTTACGTCCCTTAAGAAATGTAGAGTGAAAACGTGGTAGGGAAGCAGTGACATCAGAACCAGAAAATGTGGGGACCAATCAATGCAGCCTTTGCCATTTATTAGCTATATGACCTTAGAAAATCATTTCACGTGTCTAGGTCTCAATGTACTTAATAATACATCATGTTAACACTATCTTCCAGAATTGCGTGAAGATCATACAATATTATGAAATAGTGTCCAGTACAGGGTCTGACACTAAAGAAGGTACAGGGTTAGCAAAAGAAATAAATTTACAGAATCAATTTGTTCTTTCTTCACCTGTCCAGCAGAGTGGGACAGTTAATGAGAAGCAAGGGCCTTCCATTTATGGAAGATATTAAACAAGAATCTCCTAAAATATGAGTAATTTCAAAGTTAAAATTTGTTTCCTATCCCATGATCTTTAATATCACCAACTCCAAGATAAGCAGCTAAATAGGAATGACAATCTAGTACATTGCTCTTGAAATCATACAACAGGTAAAGAAAAGGGCCAAGATATGCCCCTTTCTGAGGTGGATGGATATGGATGAATACCCCTTTCATTACACCTTTCCCCTTTCTAAAAAACTCACATTTTTACCTACCTTACTGCCAGGTTTGGGACCTCTCTTCTTTGGGAATTTCAAAGTTTCAGCTGACTTTGATGGGGTAGAGATGGGATGGGGAATAAGGGTCTTGGGTGTTCGGCCCCGCTTCTTTCCTGGTTTACGCCCCCTCTGCCCTGGTTGATGCTTCAAGACAGTTTTGGTGTTGCTGTGGATGCTGGGCTTCTCAATGTTCACATCAGATGCAGGGTAGGGATTCTTTGGAATCACAACTGAAAGAAAAAGACTCATTCTATCACCCCTCCTTCCCTTGCATTCCCATCCCAGACAGAAGAAAAAAGGACTTGCACTTCTGCTTGGAGAGTTTTGTCCCAGGAAGCTGCTTTCCTGGTCTTTGACCTAAATGTTTAGAAAATCACAGAAGAAACTTGAATTTAGAGTAGCTAAAATTGAAAGTTTTAAATTATTTCTACCAAATAAAGAACAAATTATTAAAGATTTATCCCCAAAGTGTCTAAGAGAACACCTAAGTCCAACTTGAAGCACACAAAAAGAACCACAGCTCAGCATTGGACTGGCTCTCAGGAGTCTACACTCCTTTCCTACTGAGAATAAAAATGTGAGGCTTAGAAAAGGACATGATGCCTCCCTCAGGTAGTACCCAGTGAGCTGAGCTAAGAACTTCTGTTTTGAAACTTAGCCAGGACTTCCCTGACAACCACAACTACATTAATCTACTTTCATTGTGATTATTGCAGTGAGAACCAATGAAACACATGGAAATATAAATCTTTTAGCATCAGTCCTTATTCCTTATCTTAAAAACCTTTGCTCCCTATTACCTTTAAGGTAAAGTTCATCCTGATATCCAAGGACTTTTGTGCCTTTGTTTCTGCCTTGCTCTCCAGTTACGCCTGTTCTCATTTACTGTCACCTACCCTCTTGTTCTACTAGCCCCATATACTGAAATCTCTATTATTTTTGGTTAGACATCTTTTCAACATTCAACCTATGGCCACTTCTTTATTGAGGCCTTACTCAGACCCCAACTCAATCAGTGCTCTCCTCCACTCCAATGCATTCTTTATGCATCTATGTTAGTGTGCTTCTTAATTTTATTCCAAGCATCATCATTTTCTTAAATTGAAAACTTTTTGACACTAAGGTATCTAGTTCATTCCATAAACAGTTATTAAGTACTTACTATAGGTAGTACACAGTTCTAAGCTCTGGAGATAGAACAGTGATCAAAGAATACACAATTTCCACTCTCATGGAGTTTATGTCTTAGTGGGAGAGATAGAAAATAAATAAATATACAATATAATGTCAGGTGTGATAAGTGTAATGATTCAAATAAGTTCAAGGAAAGAGACTGCGGTATATAGGACGTTCCTTTGAGGAGATGACATTTATACAGAACTCCCAAATGAGACAAAGGCACAAACTTATGAAGACCTGAAGGACGAACCAGAAAGAACCTTTCAAGTAGAGGGTGTAACAAGTACAAAGATTCTGAAATGGAACACATTAGTGTGTTTGAGGAAGGGGAAGGAAGTTAGTATAGCTGGAACTGAGTGAGGAAAGGGGAGATTGGAGGGATATTATGTGGGAGGAGTAGCAGTGAGACTGTGTAAGACTTTGTAGACTGTGAAATCGAACTGAACTTATTCTAGGTTCAAAGAGAAGTCATTGAACAGGGAAGTGACAAGATGTACTTAGAAAAATGGCCACAAAAAATGCACTAGAATATTCACCAAGGATTTTTATTAAGAGACAAATCTGGAAAAAACTAAATGCTCAACAAAAGAAGAGCTTCCAGGCTGCCATACCACTGCTCCCAGTGCAGAGGAGGAGGCTTCCGGGCCACCTTACCACCGCTCCCAGCCCAGAGGAGGAGGCTTCCCGGCCACAGTAGCACTGCTCCCAGTGCAGAGGAGGCGAGCAGCGCAGGCGCCAGCAGCACCTTGTCCCCCTTCCCCCATTGAAATGAGAAGACATGTAAACAAGCCTCAAAACCAGACTTCCAGATCACCTACAGCAACCCCAAAGGGAAATGAGATGGAACAATCTGATACTCAATCACCTGGACTCCCTGAACTGGCAACAAAAGAGGATCTGGAAAAAATGAAATCAGAAATGATTTCTAAGATAACAACAGAGATTGTGCCCATAGTGC